GCCCTCTGCTCCCCACCCTACTCGAACATGCCTTGATCTAACCACCATAAAATCCATTGAAATTAATGGCTGTGGTTCAGATTTTGCGCCTCTTTTGTCCTCTTTGTTCTGCGTTGGCTCGCCAAGTTTTGTCAGGAAAAGTATATTTTTTCTAGCAAGAGGAATAACAGAATCTCGCGGAGGTTTTTGTACAGCTGATCCGATTGGGATTATTTCGTCAGCGATTTGTGCTAACTAAATACAAGCCGGTTACAGTTTAGTTTAGTTACAGAAAGTTTGCTGAAATAGAAGGCTTAACAAGTAATTAGTCGTGCTGCGGATGAAGCGCTTACAATTACCGTGAATAAAACCTCTGGTGGATAGTTATTGCGCTGATTAATCAGTCAGAAATGCTTTTGTTCCTTGAAATCCTCCTCCATTGTTGTTAAATCATAACCTAGTCTCCCATTCTGCATAGCAAATCGACCTTTAGTTTTTGGCTTATGATCCGAAGACCTGGCGTTTTTTAAAAATTTTCAGGAATGCTCACTGCGGTGCCGAGCCGATGCTTGGTCTCAGTGGTGTTTCCGCGTCAATGCCAAAATTCGCCGTTACAGCAGGCATTATAGCATTAGTGCCCCCAAAACGGGCCATACGATAAATGCACTGGACGAACACAAGGGCTAGAACGAAGTCCGGTGGGCGCTATGGGGACTGCGCACCCGTAACAAATGCCAACACTGGGGATGTTGCCGGGACGTCCAGGTGCGGGCTCGTGCCGCGCCAGTACGGGTGACAGCCTTTTGAAGGCAGTCGTCACTGAGGACATAATATGGTGCATTACTCTACGGGTCTTAAAATAAGTCAGTTTATTAAGGGAACGAGGCTTTCCCCCTTGAGCTTCCTATTCATATCGATAAACAGAAATAAAGTCATCAATTACATCAGCAAATGTGGAAAGTTAAAAAGTTAGCAGTAAGTTTAATCCAGGCGCAAACTGCCGCCGCCAAAACAATCGTTATTATGTGTACGTTAGTTTCTCTAGTCTGCACTTAAAGGATTTGACACTTTCGGAAAGAACCACGGCATCAGGGAGTCCGTTCCATGCCCCGATGACCCTGTGAGAGAAGGCGTTCCGTCGGACGTCCGAATGAGCCCGCTTCCTTTGCAGTTTGAACGGATGACCACGCAGACGATCAGTCCCGGCCAATTCGAAGAATTCAGTAAAGTCTAGGGCACACTCACGACCTCGGACAATCCTGTAGGTTTGGATGAGATCGCCGCGCAGTTGCCTGTAATTTAGAGGAAACAGATTTAGTTCGGTCAGCCTGGTTTCGTAAGGCAAATGATGAAGATTCTTGACCATCTTCGTAGTCATCGCCTGTACTCTTTCCAGTCGTTGATAATCTTTCTTCAACCACGGTCGCCAGGCCTGAACTGCATACTCTAAGTGAGACCGGACGAATGCCCCATAGGTTTTTCCGAATAGCTCCTGGTCGATCTGCACAAATCCTCGCCTCAGCGCAAATAACACCCTTATCGCACTTTTGGCTGCCCTTTGACACTGCGGAGATGGTTTCAGCGAGGAGGTCATTAAGACGCCCAGGTCTTTCTGTTCCACAACATTTGAAAGGGGCTGACCACCAAGGACATATTGAAAGGAATCGTCCTCCTTACTGGTCTTTTTGGACCATACGTTTGTCCACATTAAAATTAAGGAGCCAACGAGCTGACCAACTGTTCAGGCGGTTGAGACTGTCTTGAAGCGCGTGCCTGTCTGCGTCAGATCTGATGGGTCTCCACAGCTTAACATCGTCAGGAAACATGATGGTGTAGCATCCCAGGTCGTCGACGCAGTCGTTAATGTAAACCAGGAATAGCAACGACCCTAAGACGGAGCCCTGGGGTACACCACTTAGAACGGGGGTAGGAGTTGACCTTGAGGTCTCAATGCACACGGTTTGCGATCTCCCGGTAAGAAAATCTGTTATCCATGTTAGCAGCCTTTCTCTTGTCCCAATTTCAGAAAGTTTGTGATTAGGCGTTTGTGTGGGACGCTGTCGAACGCTTTCTTAAAGTCTGTGTAGATGACATCGACCCTTCCATCCTCTTCCAGTGCGCGAGTCCATTGCTCCGTCCAGAGCAATAAACTGGAAAGGGATGAGTGGTTTTGTCTGAAAACGTGCTGCAGGTCTGAGAGTAAATGGCCCTGCTCCAGGAACTCCATTGTTGCTTTTTTTTTTAACTATGGCCTCCATTATTTTACAGCAGATACAGGTTAGACCAATAGGCCGGTAATTTTTAGCATTAGTGCGAGCCCCGCCCTTGTATATCGGAAAGATATTTGTTGTCTTCCTTTCCGATGGCAGCCTCCCTAATTCGAATGACGAGCGGAAGATGTGTGCCAGTGGTTTGGAGAGTTCATTCGCCAGTTCTTTCAAGAATTTGGCCGGTATAATGTTCGGACCCAAGGACTTTGCTTCCTTGAAATTTTTCGGCTCCATTTCCACGACAGCTGTCGGAAAGATTATGGAGTCAAGCACGGGACCAGCAGTCTCAACAGCATTTCTGGCACTGCGACTGCGAAACTCTGTTTATCTAGTAAAAACCGAGGCAAAATACTGTCCTAAGTGTTAGTTTGGAGTGGCAACGTTGAAAACTATCAATTGTTAGTATGAAGGATTACACGGGATAGTAGTGTAACATTCTCGGAGCGATAATTTAAAACTACATGGCCGAGGGGAGTATTAAAGCCCGCACCTCGGTCGGGAAGAGGTTAGCAAATTCGCAGTGTGTTCTGTCATCACACGGCGAAGCTCACCTTCTCCGCTAGCAATCTGAGCGAAACTCTGTGAACATCGTACCTTTAGGCGGTAGAGCCTCCTCATCTCAGTTCTTGAAATTATTACCCATGTTACTGACAGAAAGAACACCTTCAGGTTCCGGCGATTTGGCATACGACATGAGGCTGGATTTATGTGTACTGCAGGGGGAGTCCGCTGAGAAAACAGCCAGGTTAACTGACAGAAGAGAGGCTTCTGAAAAAAGTGTATTGTTACCTGTTTTTGTTCTCGGTAAATTTTTTCCCGCGGATTATCGACTGAACGTCGTATGCTGTACCCACTTCCGACAGGCGACTACATGCGGGCAGCCATGCGAAGACGATTGTTCCTGTGCGTTTATTTAGTATGAAAAATAAAGGTTCTGAGTCCATCACAAGTAGCTAACCTAGTTCACAGTACTCTACGTAATCTTCTACCGAACTGGCCTATCATTTCGCGCGAGTTTTCAGTCACTGGGAATGTGACTGTAGAAAGGCACGATCCACCCTCACTGGCCCACTAAATCACCGCCACGAAGGAAAAAAGACACCCCTCTATATGTTATTTGCAGAGCTCGGGATTTCCTAGACAAAAACCTAAAGGACGTCCGTCTGTTGCCAAAAACAAACTACGGAAACGTTGATGTAGTAAAGTCCGTCAGTCCACCGGAAATATACGAAAAAAATGTGTTTTCTTTCCAGATAACAAGCGGAAGTCCCTAGGCTCCTCGCTACGCCGATTTCTATGACAACCTTTTTTGATGAAAGGACACAGTATGCACACGTTTGCCTACATAATGTCCTCCCCATAACAGCATGTAAAAACGTAGCAAGTGCCGGTTGGGTACTGGAATGCGGACCTCCCGTTATACAGGTAGTCCTGCCCTAGATTCTGACCCCAATGTTGTAGAATAATTATATTTGGACTTACTCGGTACCGTTTGGCGGATTTAGGTTCGAGGAGAACGCACTCCACTGCGCGTAGTAATCGTATGTTGAGATGGACTGCGATCGGCTGCTCCTTTGCCAGAAGTCCAATCCCTGATTGGCTGTTAATCCGCTGCTACTACTGACTGACCTCATCTTGGTCACACGTCCTTTAAAAGTGCTGAGATCCCATGGGGCTCATTTCTGCTTAGGCTGCCCTAAAGTTGGGCTGTCAAACCTGAGCAAGAATATCGATTTTTGGCACATACGTTCCCCCGTTTCAAAATACGCTCGGTGGGCACATGTGCTGGACAAGACCCAATCGGGTACGACTGCCCGCAAATGAACAACTGCAACTTCGTTTACACATTACCAGAATATGTTCTGGATCGAACGGTCATTATCAACGATGGTCATGAGCACCGCGTTAGTGGCTTTAAGCTTGCCAAGGCCAGTGAGTATTTTAAACGTCAGCTAATTCAACTGCGACAAGGTGAACTTGCTAAGTCGCGCGTAAGTGAGGAGGACAACGGGAAGCAGACTTCACGCAGAGTCAGAGCCAGAAGTCTCTGTCACTTGGAATTTGAGCCTCTGCGCATTACGTATGACGACATTGATGGCTTCGAGACGATGCTCTCTTTTACACACTGCTCAGAGGAGGCTCGTCGTCGATTAGCGAGCAAACTGACCAGCGGCAAACTTGTGTCCATTTTGAAAGCTGGCATGCACTTCGAGGTCCCCAGCTTTATGGACTACTTCATAACAGCTATGAAGACAAAACTCAGAGCCGATACAATTTGGGATTTTTGGATTGCCTTAAGAGAATTTAACGGAAGCCTGCCGAATGTTGTTGATCATTGCATGAGTTTTCTACTGAAGAATTTCCTCGAAGCATCCGATTCGGAACATTTTTTACGGCTTGAAGTTGAACAGTTGAAGCCGATTATGAAAGACGATGCACTGAACGTTGCCAATGAATTAGAATTGTTCGGGGCCATAACTACCTGGGTAAAGGCAGATAGGGCAGAACGCGTTCATAAGCTTCACGAACTTCTCGAATGTGTACGCTTCGGCCGATTAACTGCAGAGGAGTTTGCTGAAATAACTGAGCATCCACTAGTCAAAGAGGCGGGTGAGTCGTGCGGCTCCCTGCTTGCTGTAGCTCAGATAGTTGTCGATTCGTCGGCAGATCTTCCAGAGTCCCAACAGGCAGGAGACGATACTGAAGCATATGCTTACTATAAGCGTCCTCGGCTCCCACACTCAGCAATATTCGTTGTCGGTGGCTGGGAGGGTAACCAGGACGACCCAAATTTCGGACCATCAAGGGCAGTTCAAGTCTACAATTCGCGCAGCGACACATGGCGCCGAATTGCCGCAGACGGAATCGCTCTAGACGAAGGGCATGCTTACTCAGGCTGTGTGCTTTACAAAAATAAAATATATATAGTTGGAGGATATATTGCTAGTGGACCCACACAAACGTTAAAGATGCTCGAGCTCACTGTGGGGACGTGGAAGTTCCTTTCACCCATGCATGAGAAGCGCAATTACGTCTGCACCTGCCTCCTGGACAACGCCATATACGCAATTGGGGGCCACAATGGTCGACATCGACTGAACACTGTTGAGCGCTACGATCCCGAACAAAACAACTGGACCTACGTTTCACAGATGCGGCAGGTCCGCAGCGATGCAGGGGCGGATTCCCTAAACGGCCGCATTTACGTGTGTGGAGGTTTCGATGGTCACCACTTTTACGACTCAGTTGAGTCCTACGACCCGAAAGTGGATCAGTGGACTTTAGTTGCCCCCATGCAGAACATTCGAAGCGGAGTCAGCGTTACGGCCTTTAAGAATGCCCTATACGCCATCGGCGGTAATGATGGTCTTCAACGGCTGCGAACTGTCGAAAAGTATGACCCGGAGACCAATCAATGGCAGACAATGCCCTCGATGATCCGTCAGCGTAGCAACTTCTGTATAGTCACTCTCGAGGATATTATTTACGTTATGGGTGGCTGGAGCGATGAGACTAATTCAACCATCGCATTGGTTGAAAAGTGGGTTCCTGGTATGACGAGCAGTTGGCAATCGGCAAAGGAGTTGTTTTTGCCTGCTAGCGCAAATTGTTGCTGTGGAATACAGGGTCTGGAACTAATCAGAGACTTTTTGTAGTCGCCCCAGCTGCCCCGGCATGGCGTGGTGCAAATTTTGTAGTTGAAAAAAACCTGGGTTTGCAAACTTGTGGAAAGTTGACTGAACCCTCTCCCCGATAAATTACATCCCAGACGAATCAGGTAAAGGATCAAAACCAGAGGCTAAGACATTTGTTATGGCAGTTAATGCACATTAAAAAATACAGCCGGCCTTAATTGTGCATCGTCGGGCCGCCCGCATGTTATATCGTGAACTCAATGTGCTCCATTCCTTCCTGATTTAGTGTCAAGTTGGTAGACAAGCTCTCGGCGGATGGTGTAGTCCCCACCATTATTTGTGGGACCGCAGGCGTCCCCTGACAGAGCTTAGAGGCCTTTGATTTTGTGTACAGAAGTAAGCGCCCCTCGTGATGTCTTGCCAAGGGCAGCGAGCGAGCGACCTTCTATGCCCCAGCCTAACAGATTGCTGTGCAACACTCCGTTCGCGTGTCGAGTCTCTCCTCTCTCTCTCTCTCTCTCTCTATGCAATATGTACAAATGATGTCTTTATTTACTTGAGTAAAGATTCATTTTGGAGTGCACACTGATTTCTCATCTAGTCGCACCTGTGACATGCTCGAATTTAGCAATAAAGCAGTTTACAACACTGTTCTAGTCTCTGTTCGCTATATGCCCATAGCTATGATTCATATCCTTAGACACATAACAGTACACTTCGTGAAACTTATAGAGCATTGGTTTAGACTCCAAGAGGAAGAGACAAGTTGGACCGGTGGTCTCCTTCGACCAACACTCGAGAACGAACTGAAACGCTGACGGGCAGGCTGTGGGCACATCAAATGGATGCGAGACGAACTCTTGTCGTCGGCATTTTTGCCATGGTCTTCTTCCGACCGGAATTTATGCATATTTGTCCTTTCGAATTCACACTATGGCACTGAAAGCACTGGACCATTGATTGGCAGTCTTGTCAGGGCGCTAGACACCAACATGGCCGAAATTAACAATAAACAGATTTTCTCATTGGCCTAAAACCTTACTAGACGAAGCAAGTACATAAAACGCGCCACCGAATTACAGGATTCCAGAAAGGGCAAACAAAACAATGGGTTTTATTTCGAAATAGATCATAATTTGGACAAGAGATGCCTAACTACCGAGGTTAGGATGTCGTTTATGTCGAACAGGGCAATGGTCAGGAAAAAATTCATATTTATGCAAAGGCACAGAGTCTCTGCTGGTAAATGTTACCCTCTTCTAGGATAAAGAAACGGATAAGATAGTGCTGCAGTTTATCAGTTGACAGTTTCCCACGTTAAAACAGACAAATGTCTAGGAATGAGTGGTGGTCTGATTTTAGAAATCAGCCGGCTGTTGGCGGTGGTGTCTGCTAGTTGATGGAGAGTGTATGTGCGCTAAGTCTTGGTGTATATGAAGTTCCTCAAGACGATGTCTTCTATATGCAGAGACGTCGGAATCAATACGATTTCTGGACCCAGGACCCACATGCGGCCAGTCATATAAAACGGAATTTGAACAAAAGAACAGTAAGCGTTCAAATGACACTTTAGCCATGGCCTACGTACTATAAA